GTTCTAGTTCAGTTCTAGTTCAGTTCTAGGTTCAGTTTCTAGTTCAGTTCTAGTTCAGTTCTAGTTCATTTCTAGTTCAGTTCTAGTTCAGTTCTAGTTTCAGTTCTAGTTCAGTTCTAGTTCATTCATTCTGTGCTAGTTCAGTTCTAGTTCAGTTCTAGTTCAGTTCTAGTTCAGTTCTAGTTCAGTTCTAGTTCAGTTCTAGTTCAGTTCTAGTTCAGTTCTAGTTCAGTTCTAGTTCAGTTCTAGTTCAGTTCTAGTTCAGTTCTAGTTCAGTTCAGTTCTAGTTCAGTTCTAGTTCAGTTCTAGTTCAGTTCTAGTTCAGTTCTAGTTCAGTTCTAGTTCAGTTCTAGTTCAGTTCTAGTTCAGTTCTAGTTCAGTTCTAGTTCAGTTCTAGTTCAGTTCTAGTTCAGTTCTAGTTCAGTTCTAGTTCAGTTCTAGTTCAGTTCTAGTTCAGTTCTAGTTCAGTTCTAGTTCAGTTCTAGTTCAGTTCTAGTTCAGTTCTAGTTCAGTTCTAGTTCAGTTCTAGTTCAGTTCTAGTTCAGTTCTAGTTCAGTTCTAGTTCAGTTCTAGTTCAGTTCTAGTTCAGTTCAGTTCTAGTTCTGTTCTAGTTCTGTTCTAGTTCTGTTCTAGTTCTGTTCTAGTTCAGTTCTAGTTCAGTTCTAGTTCAGTTCTAGTTCTGTTCTAGTTCTGTTCAAGTTCTCTTCTGGTTCTGTTCTAGTTCTGTTCTAGTTCAGTTGTAAATATAAATATTAATAATAACATAATCCCACCTCTGTGCAGTAAATAGTTCCCAAATCAACCCCTTTTTTGCTTTAAAAAAAACCTCTAGAATGAAAAACATAACTTACAAGAGATGCGTCGTATAAACATTAAAATACCCAAAGAAATGTTATTTTAGCTGCAACCGGGCAAAGAGTGGGAGTAAAACCATCAACAGGATTAATGTCCTGTTTTAATACTTACGAAAACATTACAACCGTAGACAACCAAAACATAGAAAGAAAAAAAAAAAACGCTTCCTAATGAAATGATTTCTAAAGGGAAGATAAACCTAGCACCCCCAACCCACAAATTCCTGTTTGTACACGAACAATACTTAATGTTGTTGCAAAAACAAAAGTAAATATTTTTGTTGTTTTTCTACTATTTTAACTACAAGTAATTGGGATTCAAACATTAAGCTCCAACATAAGTGAATGTTTAGTTGGGGGTATTAAAAGAATTATGCAAACATATACAGAGTAACATATTTTTACTTTTATATACCCGGCAGTTTAGAGTAACTGTAACGAAATTATGATTTTATTTATCATGCTAAGTGACTTACTACTTTTTGGAATATATATGTCAATGTCCTAGGATCAACTCTAAATGTAATAAATTAGTACTCCTGGTAAATTAGTAAAATATGTATATAAATTCGAGTCACCTTTTGAAAAAACGTAGACATTTGAAAGATAAAAGTGATACATTAACTTATAACAAATCTGTTGGGATTTGCTTCTAAGCAAAAGTATTTAAGCAGTCATCATATGAACAGAAAGACGGACAAAAACCTTAAAAACATTTAAGACGGTCAAACGAAAGTGTTGTATTACAGAACGGACATTATTGGAGGGACGTTGATAATATATATTTTTTTTATTTAAAAATATCGCCAACATGCATACAACTGTTTACTTAAAGTATATATGTGTGTGTATGTGGGGAAATGGTAAATGCCTGGCGGAAACTTAAGTTGACTCAGCAACATTTTTCAGATTACGACTACAACATTATACTTATATGAGAATAATGTTTTTTTCTGAATTTTGGTCTCTTAGTATTTTGTTGTTTACTGTTGGGTGTTAAGTGAAAATGTTTATGCCATTTATAAGAAGACACCATAGAGACACTTATTTATTCGCATAAACATACAGTTTCTAACAAAATTATGCGTATAGTGGTTAAGATTTTACCAACATATTATTATGAGGCGAATTATTTTATTTCTATTCATATTTACAAGTTAAACTTTATTATTATTTTTATTATCATTTTGTACGCACAAGTTTTTGAGTCACTGTATGTGGACAACCAAATATAAGTACATAAAACCATACATTAAACATCTAAATGTCTAAACATTTTTAGCAATTTCCAGCACATGTCTTAGGGAAATGAACAATAATTTAAGATCCCTATTCGGTTGGTGAAATAATGTGACCAACTGAACACTTAAAACATAAATTTTTTCCAGTCAAAATGAAATCGTACTCTATTGGAAAATGTTTTAGATCTAGTTCAGTTGTAGTGCAGATCTCGTTGTGTTCCAGTTCAGATCTAATTCTGTTCTGGTTGCGTTCTAGTTCAGTTCTAGTTCAGTTCTAGTTCAGTTCTAGTTCAGTTCTAGTTCTGTTCTAGTTCTGTTCTAGTTCTGTTCTAGTTCTGTTCTAGTTCTGTTCTAGTTCTGTTCTAGTTCTGTTCTAGTTCTAGTTCTGTTCTAGTTCTGTTCTAGTTCTAGTTCTGTTTCTAGTTCTGTTCTAGTTCTGTTCTAGTTCTGTTCTAGTTCTGTTCTAGTTCTGTTCTAGTTCAGTTCTGTTCTAGTTCAGTTCTAGTTCAGTTCTGTTCTAGTTCAGTTCTGTTCTAGTTCTGTTCTAGTTCTGTTCTAGTTCTAGTTCTGTTCTAGTTCTGTTCTAGTTCTGTTCTAGTTCTGTTCTAGTTCTGTTCTAGTTCTGTTCTAGTTCTGTTCTAGTTCTGTTCTAGTTCTGTTCTAGTTCTGTTCTAGTTCTGTTCTAGTTCTGTTCTAGTTTCTAGTTCTGTTCTAGTTCTGTTCTAGTTCTGTTCTAGTTCTGTTCTAGTTCTGTTCTAGTTCTGTTCTAGTTCTGTTCTAGTTCTGTTCTAGTTCTGTTCTAGTTCTGTTCTAGTTCTGTTCTAGTTCTGTTCTAGTTCTGTTCTAGTTCTGTTCTAGTTCTGTTTCTAGTTCTGTTCTAGTTCTGTTCTAGTTCTGTTCTAGTTCTGTTCTAGTTCTGTTCTAGTTCTGTTCTAGTTCTGTTCTAGTTCTGTTCTAGTTCTGTTCTAGTTCTGTTCTAGTTCTGTTCTAGTTCTGTTCTAGTTCTGTTCTAGTTCTGTTCTAGTTCTGTTCTAGTTCTGTTCTAGTTCTGTTCTAGTTCTGTTCTAGTTCTGTTCTAGTTCTGTTCTAGTTCTGTTCTAGTTCTGTTCTAGTTCTGTTCTAGTTCTGTTCTAGTTCTGTTCTAGTTCTGTTCTAGTTCTTCTGTTCTAGTTCTGTTCTAGTTCTGTTCTAGTTCTGTTCTAGTTCTGTTCTAGTTCTGTTCTAGTTCTGTTCTAGTTCTGTTCTAGTTCTGTTCTAGTTCTGTTCTAGTTCGTTCTAGTTCTGTTCTAGTTCTGTTCTAGTTTCTGTTCTAGTTCTGTTCTAGTTCTGTTCTAGTTCTGTTCTAGTTCAGTTCTGTTCTAGTTCTTGTTCCTAGTTCAGTTCTGTTCTAGTTCAGTTCTGTTCTAGTTCAGTTCTGTTCTAGTTTCTGTTCTAGTTCCTGTCTAGTTCTGTTCTAGTTCTGTTCTAGTTCTGTTCTAGTTCTGTTCTAGTTCTGTGCTAGTTCGGTTCTAGTTCTGTTCTAGTTCTGTTCTAGTTCTGTTCTAGTTCTGTTCTAGTTCAGTTTCTAGTTCTGTTCTAGTTCTGTTCTAGTTCTGTTCTAGTTCTGTTCTAGTTCATGTTCTAGTTCTGTTCTAGGTTCTGTTCTAGTTTCTGTTCTAGTTCTGTTCTAGTTCTGTTCTAGTTCTGTTCTAGTTCTGTTCTAGTTCTGTTCTAGTTCTGTTCTAGTTCTGTTCTAGTTCTGTTCTAGTTCTGTTCTAGTTCTGTTCTAGTTCTGTTCTAGTTCTGTTCTAGTTCTGTTCTAGTTCGGTTCTAGTTCTGTTCTAGTTCTGTTCTAGTTCTGTTCTAGTTCTAGTTCTGTTCTAGTTCTGTTCTAGTTCTGTTCTAGTTCTGTTCTAGTTCTGTTCTAGTTCTGTTCTAGTTCTGTTCTAGTTCTGTTCTAGTTCTGTTCTAGTTCTGTTCTAGTTCTGTTCTAGTTCTGTTCTAGTTCTGTTCTAGTTCTGTTCTAGTTCTGTTCTAGTTCTGTTCTAGTTCTGTTCTAGTTCTGTTCTAGTTCTGTTCTAGTTCTGTTCTAGTTCTGTTCTAGTTCTGTTCTAGTTCTGTTCTAGTTCTGTTCTAGTTCTGTTCTAGTTCTGTTCTAGTTCTGTTCTAGTTCTGTTCTAGTTCTGTTCTAGTTCTGTTCTAGTTCTGTTCTAGTTCTGTTCTAGTTCTGTTCTGTTCTAGTTCTGTTCTAGTTCTGTTCTAGTTCTGTTCTAGTTCTGTTCTAGTTTCTGTTCTAGTTTCTGTTCTAGTTCTGTTCTAGTTCTGTTCTAGTTCTGTTCTAGTTCTGTTCTAGTTCTGTTCTAGTTCTGTTCTAGTTCTGTTCTACTTTTGTTCTAGTTCTGTTCTAGTTCTGTTCTAGTTCTTTCTAGTTCTGTTCTAGTTCTGTTCTAGTTCTGTTCTAGTTCTTTTCTAGTTTCTGTTCTAGTTCTGTTCTAGTTCTGTTCTTCTCGTTTGTTGTAATATCTAACACTTCATAGTTGGTCCCATTAGCTTTTGTGGACATTAAATTTCTTTTATCTGGCAGTCTCATTATTATTTGTTTATGATGACAGTTGAACAAAACACAAGAAATATTCCATCCATTGACCACTAAAGTACAACATGGACAAAATGTCACATGATGTCAATAATGTTCGTTCAATCGAACAAGATTAGAAAAAATAAAAAAAACACTAAAAGGGAATTTTGATAGAAATAGAAACAGAAATATGTCTTAGGACTGTTATTTACACAAATGCAAAACAAACAATATCTTACAGATATGCAGATACATACGAAACGACTTATTAACTTTATTAGTTTTGTGGGCATTATTGTTATTTGTATTTTATTATTATTTATTTATATTTATTTAATAAATACTCACATTATTAACTTTTTCCTGCAATCTTAGTAGAGCCGCTTCAAGTTCTACAATCCGATGCTCAAGTTTATCCTGTTTTTATTGGTTCGAAAAAAAATTTTCGAAAATTTTTTTTTGTCAAAGGAAAACCAAAAGTAGAAGAAGAAGGAAAAACAAAAAAATGAAAATCAACTTAAAATTTGTTTTTATGTTTTTAAAACACAACTCTAAATAAACAGATAAATAAAAAGCGAGAAAATCTATAATGAAATGATTTGTAGCGTGTATGTATGTTGGTATGGATGAGTTGTATCTATGGGTTGTGACTTACACCAATTTATGAAGGTGAACTGAAAATTTAAGTGCGTTTTTATGAGTGTTGTAAGGGGTTATGTAGTGAAATAAGCAGTTGTTTAAATATTTCTTTTTACTATGAAATGTATAGTTAAGGAGCATAACTTATAACTAAATAGAAAGTAGTTAAAAATTCAACTAAAAGTAAGAAAAAAGTTAAAATTTTAAAACTAATATCAGATAAAAATCTACTGGAGATAGAGGAATTCTATAGAGTTCTATAGTAACAACCAAATACATAATTACTTTTTGGTAACTGCTCCCGTTTACAGGAGTAGTTACTAAGTAACTACATCTTAACTTAAATGCCCATTTTAATTCCTTGAAAATTATTATTATATTTATGTTATTTAAATTAAAAAAAACTTCTTTGTTTTTCAAATAAAACATTAAAAGCTTTTTTTTATCACTTAAAAGTTTTTCTCTTAAAAGCCTTTCAGTAGAAGTAATTTAATGTTTATGCCAGATCCATTTATAGTTTTACGCTGTTTAAACAATTGAAAAAATTTTTAAAGCTTGATTAACCAAATAAAATACAATAGTCATGTAAAATGTATTATTTGTACTTATTGTTGTTGTTGTTGCTGTTAATGCTACTGCTTGCTGCTGTAATGCTTTTAAGTATCTTAGCATCTTGTAAATTAAAGTCGGCTTGAAAGAACTTTTTTATTGTTATTTATTTGAATAGAGAAGAAGACACGACGACGACTCGCCATATCAATTTCAAAAGATTGTATATTCTACTATTTTGAGAAAGAAATAATTGCGCGTTGAAGTGTTCTTTACATGAAGATCGTTAAATGTCTGAAAATTGAATAGGTGGAGTCGACTGTGGGTGAGTATATACTATAGACTCTATAGTGTTAAACTAAAAAATATTGTAGAAATGGGTAATATGTTTTCAATACTATTCCAGTTTTGTTTTACCTTAGTTGTGTTCAAAATCTATTTCAATTCTAGTTCTCTTATAGTTCAGCTCTAGTTCAGTTCTAGTTCAGTTCCAGTTCAGTTCTAGTTCAGTTCTATTTCGGTTCTAGTTCAGTTCTAGTTCCGTTCAAGTTCTGTTCTAGTTCTGTTCTAGTTCTGTTCTAGTTCTGTTCTAGTTCTGTTCTAGTTCTGTTCTAGTTCTGTTCTAGTTCTGTTCTAGTTCTGTTCTAGTTCTGTTCTAGTTCTGTTCTAGTTCTGTTCTAGTTCTGTTCTAGTTCTGTTCTAGTTCTGTTCTAGTTCTGTTCTAGTTCTGTTCTAGTTCTGTTCTACTTCTGTTCTACTTCTGTTCTAGTTCTGTTCTAGTTCAGTTCTAGTTTATTTCTAGTTTATTTCTAGTTAATTTCTAGTTCAGTTCTAGTTCAGTTCTAGTTCAGTTCTAGTTCAGTTCTAGTAGTTCTAGTTCTGTTCTGTTCTAGTTCTGTTCTGTTCTAGTTCTGTTCTAGTTCAGTTCTAGTTCAGTTCTAGTTCAGTTCTAGTTCAGTTCTAGTTCAGTTCTAGTTCTGTTCTAGTTCTGTTCTAGTTCTGTTCTAGTTCTGTTCTAGTTCTGTTCTAGTTCGGTTCTAGTTCTGTTCTAGTTCTGTTCTAGTTCTGTTCTAGTTCTGTTCTAGTTCTGTTCTAGTTCTGTTCTAGTTCTGTTCTAGTTCTGTTCTAGTTCTGTTCTAGTTCTGTTCTAGTTCTGTTCTAGTTCTGTTCTAGTTCTGTTCTAGTTCTGTTCTGTTCTAGTTCTGTTCTAGTTCTGTTCTAGTTCTGTTCTAGTTCTGTTCTAGTTCTGTTCTAGTTCTGTTCTAGTTCTGTTCTAGTTCTGTTCTAGTTCTGTTCTAGTTCTGTTCTAGTTCTGTTCTAGTTCTGTTCTAGTTCTGTTCTAGTTCTGTTCCAGTTCTGTTTTAGTTCTGTTTCTAGTTCTGTTCTAGTTCTGTTCTAGTTCTGTTCTAGTTCTGTTCTAGTTCTGTTCTAGTTCTGTTCTAGTTCTGTTCTAGTTCTGTTCTAGTTCTGTTCTAGTTCTGTTCTAGTTCTGTTCTAGTTCTGTTCTAGTTCTGTTCTAGTTCTGTTCTAGTTCTATTCTAGTTCTGTTCTAGTTCTGTTCTAGTTCTGTTCTAGTTCTGTTCTAGTTCTGTTCTAGTTCTGTTCTGTTCTAGTTCTGTTCTAGTTCTGTTCTAGTTCTGTTCTAGTTCTGTTCTAGTTCTGTTCTAGTTCAGTTCTAGTTTATTTCTAGTTCAGTTCTAGTTAATTTCTCGTTCTGTTCTAGTTCTAGTTTTCTAGTTCTGTTCTAGTTCTGTTCTAGTTCTGTTCTAGTTCTGTTCTAGTTCTGTTCTAGTTCTGTTCTAGTTCTGTTCTAGTTCTGTTCTAGTTCTGTTCTAGTTCTGTTCTAGTTCTGTTCTAGTTCTGTTCTAGTTCTGTTCTAGTTCTGTTCTAGTTCTGTTCTAGTTATGTTCTAGTTCTGTTCTAGTTCTGTTCTAGTTCTGTTCTAGTTCTGTTCTAGTTCTGTTCTAGTTCTGTTCAAGTTCTGTTCTAGTTCTGTTCTAGTTCTGTTCTAGTTTTGTTCTTGTTCTGTCCTAATTCTTATATATTCTGTTCTAGTCAGAACAGTGTTCTATTTCAGTTCTGTTTTAGTTCTTTTCTAGTTCATATTTGCATGGTGTAGGGCAACAATTTCGTCTATATTTAAAATCATGATTACAGGCAGCAGCAAGTGTTTTGTAGCTTGCGATACACTTGCGCTTAAAAGAAATTGAATTTGTAAAATTGAAAATAATAAAAATAAAAAAAAAACTACAGAAAAAATGTCTTTAAATCACGCATGAGTAGATTTATGGTTAAAATTTAAAAACGTTGTTCTTACATTACACCAGGTTTAGTAAATAGTAGAGACTCTATAGTTGCTAAATGCATATGTATGCATAATGTATGTATATATGTTTGTATATGTGTGTAATAATGCATTTTTGCAATATCCTGTTAAAATAAAAATGCAAACGAAATTACAAAAAGCTCTTTACTTTTGAATAGATTCTATTGTCTGTTGTAGTTTTGTTATGTTTTATTTTGCTTTTATTTCAGATTTTGTTTCGTTTTCTTTTTAGTTTTATTTTCTGTAAAAGAGTTACAATGGCTTTAAGTTGTATTGTTGCTGTTTTTATACCGTACACCACTTTAGTGGGGAGGGTATATTGGATTTGTGCTGATGTTTGTAACATACAAAAATATTCGTCCTAGACCCACCTTAAAGTATACCAATCGGCTTAGAATCGTTTTCTGAGTCGATTAAGCTATGTCCGTCCGTCCGTCCGTCCGTCCGTCCGTCCGTCTGGCTGGCTGTCCATGTAAACCTTGTGCGCAAGGTACAGGTCGCAATTTTCAAGATAATTGGATGAAATTTGGCACGCACGTTTTATTTGACCCAAGGACGAAGCCTATTGAAAATGGTTAAAATCGGTCCATTATTTCACCTAGTCCCCATAGAACAGGTCCCCCGAAAAGGGCTTCTGAGCTCATAATTATGTTAAATATACAGATATATCGATAAAATACGGCTCACTACTAAGTTTTATAGAAGTCTTGATGACCTTGCCAAATTTCATAAAGATCGCGCCCCATCTGACCCTAGCTCCCATACAAGGTCCCCTTCAGAAAATTACTTGAATGTCCCAAATTAAGTTATAAACACAAATATCGCGATGAAATTCAGTACAATAAAATATTATGTAAATATAAATATATTCAAAAAAGTTTATCGGGCTTGGTCCATATTTACCCGTAGCCCTCATATAAAGCCTCTTTCAGAAAATTAGTGTTTCATCCATAAATTGCTTAAATGTATCGGAACAAGGGACTATTGAAGATAAATGCTTTATTATGAAAAATAAATCACATTTAATATTCATAACTGGTGTAGGGTATCATATGGTCGGCCACGCCCGACTATACTTTCTTACTTGTTGTTATTTTATTTGTATGGATCTGTATTCTACTCATGTGTATGCTACAGGTTTCATTTGATTTAGTTTTTTAAAAAAGACAGAACTCTAAATGATTTTCATTTGAAAATTCAGGAACTGAAACTGAATATAATAAAAATCGCCGGAAAGTTTAGATACCAACAGTTTGCACATGAGAACTAATTGCGTAATGCCTTACCAAGTTTACTATGAGAGGGATACCATATAATAACTGGTACCCCTTGTACCAGCTTAAAACGTTTAAGAGCTTTAACAATTTTTTTAAAAGTTTCCAGAATCTAAACATTTTAACAATTACCAGAAAATTTTCTCTATAATTTCCTTTCAACTCCTTGAAACTTTCCCACAACAAAAAGCCTCTCATGCTGTATTTAAGAAAATTCTTTACAACCATTAAATTCTTCCTTTATAATTCTGTTGCAACTAAAAGGAAGAATCAGGGTAGAGGGACTAGGTAATGAAAAAGAAAATAATAATAAGAAGAAATAAAAAAGTACGTGCAATGCCCAAACATGTCGTCTCACTTAATAATGTTGAAATCGTGTTGTGCTCAGATGTCTGCTTGTTGCCGGTTGCTGCAGCAGTTTCTACTGTTTGCCACAGTGCTGCTGACGGCCTGTTCTGTTGTTTGCCATTTGACTGTGTAAATTGTCAACGTTCTTTTTGCCATACAGTAAATAGTAAACGAACAATAACAAAAAAAAAAAAAAAAAAACAAAAAACACAACTCAAACATTCAGCAAAAGTAGCAACAATAGTTAACGACGATAAATGTTGCCTTGCAACATAATGTATGTATGCAGCGTAACTATCTACTCAGCTGTATCTGTGAGTGTTTTTGTGTTCAGCAATAAATTGTTGTAAACTTCATCTGTTAGTTTTTCTGTTGGCTGTTGTTTGTTTCTGTTTTTTTTTGTTATTTGTTCTTTCATTTGTTTGTATGGCACTGGCACCCAGAAAAGTGCAATCACGTTCTCTGTTTCAGTTTTTGTTCGTTTTTTCTTTCAGTTTTGTGAGAACAAAAAAATGCGTAGTTTGACTGTTGCTGTGACTATTGCTACTTGAAGCCGCCAACATGTCACATACACACACACACACACATTGTAGCAATTATGCACACACTTACTCATATAAATTGACCAGCCAACAAATTGATATCCAGTTCTAGTTTAGTTCTAGTTCATTTCTAGTTCAGTTCTAAATCACTTCCAGTTCAGTTCTAGTTCAGCTCTAGTTCAGTTCTAGTTCAATTCTAGTTAAGTTCTAGTTCAGTTCTAGTTCTGTTCTAGTTCTGTTCTAGTTCTGTTCTAGTTCTGTTCTAGTTCAGTTCTAGTTCAGTTCTAGTTCAGTTCTAGTTCAGTTCTAGTTCTAGTTCAGTTCTAGTTCTGTTCTAGTTCTGTTCTAGTTTTGTTCTAGTTCTGTTCTAGTTCTGTTCTAGTTCTGTTCTAGTTCTGTTCTAGTTCTGTTCTAGTTCAGTTCTAGTTCTAGTTCAGTTCTAGTTCAGTTCTAGTTCAGTTCTAGTTCAGTTCTAGTTCTAGTTCAGTTCTAGTTCAGTTCTAGTTCAGTTCAGTTCTAGTTCAGTTCTAGTTCAGTTCTAATTCAGTTCTAGTTCAGTTCTAGTTCAGTTCTAGTTCAGTTCTAGTTCGATTCTAGTTCAGTTCTAGTTCAGTTCTAGTTCAGTTCTAGTTCAGTTCTAGTTCAGTTCTAGTTCAGTTCTAGTTCTAGTTCAGTTCTAGTTCAGTTCTAGTTCAGTTCTAGTTCAGTTCTAGTTCAGTTCTAGTTCAGTTCTAGTTCAGTTCTAGTTCAGTTCTAGTTCTAGTTCAGTTCTAGTTCAGTTCTAGTTCAGTTCTAGTTCAGTTCTAGTTCAGTTCTAGTTCAGTTCTAGTTCAGTTCTAGTTCAGTTCTAGTTCAGTTCTAGTTCAGTTCTAGTTCAGTTCTAGTTCAGTTCTAGTTCAGTTCTAGTTCAGTTCTAGTTCAGTTCTAGTTCAGTTCTAGTTCAGTTCTAGTTCAGTTCTAGTTCAGGTCTAGTTCAGTTTAGTTCTGTTCTAGTTCTGTTCTAGTTCAGTTCTAGTTCAGTTCTAGTTCAGTTCTAGTTCAGTTCTAGTTCAGTTCTAGTTCAGTTCTAGTTCAGTTCTAGTTCAGTTCTAGTTCAGTTCTAGTTCAGTTCTAGTTCAGTTCTAGTTCAGTTCTAGTTCAGTTCTAGTTCAGTTCAGTTCTAGTTCAGTTCTAGTTCAGTTCTAGTTCAGTTCTAGTTCAGTTCTAGCTCAGTTCTAGTTCAGTCTAGTTCAGTTCTAGTTCAGTTCTAGTTCAGTTCTAGTTCAGTTCTAGTTCAGTTCTAGTTCAGTTCTAGTTCAGTTCAGTTCTAGTTCAGTTCTAGTTCAGTTCTAGTTCAGTTCTAGTTCAGTTCTAGTTCAGTTCTAGTTCAGTTCTAGTTCAGTTCTAGTTAAGTTTAGTTCAGTTCTAGTTTAGTTCTAGTTAAGTTTAGTTCAGTTCTAGTTTAGTTCAGTTCTAGTCACATTTATTTTCAAACTCTGGACTTAATGTTTGTTGGGTTATTGTGAATTTCAGTAGCAGTTGCAACAAGCAACAGCGTCTCTCTGTTTGAACAGCAGCTTAAATGCAAAAGTTCAATGAACGTTAAAGAAATTTATAGTGTTTACTTGTTGTTTGTATAATTTCATTTTTTGTTGTTCCTTTTTGTTGCTGTTGTAGTTTTAATTGTTATTAGCTAAAATTTTTAGTGAGTTACTGCAATATTTTTTCCATTTTTTTGCGATACTTGAGAAACACTTGAAAAAGGATTAGAAATTTTACAAAAGTGTAAAAATATTGTGGTAGGAAATTGGAGTTTTAAGCTCTATATGAATAAGAAATAATTTCATGATCATTTCGAGAAAATAATCATTTAAAATTAATGTAGATGCTAAAGGTTCTAAATCGGAAGGTAAATACAGCTGAAATACATATGATAGACAGTGAATACCCTTAATATTACAGAATTACCAACGAATACAGCAGTGCTTTCAAAAACTCATAATTTTTAATTAAATTTCAATTATATACCAAAAAACCACAACCACTACTTATACAGAGGGAAATGAGTTCTAAAAGGATTTGCTGGATCAAAAAAACAAAAAAAACCTAAATTAATCTTAAATACACAAATTGCAACTAAAAAGCTACGTTGTATAGAATCTATGACTTATGACTAAATTCTAGTAATTTTTAGTAGAAAACATTTTCACCACAATATTGCCAATTTAACCAATTTATAAAAGCCATAACGAAAATGTTTAAAAAAGTCTATGTATTTCTCAACTTACCTTATCATTGGGTGATTCCAAACCATTGCATATATGCTGACTGCTAAAGGGTGGTGGTGGTGATGATGGTGGCGGCGGTAGCAGTGTAGAAGGCGTCGATACTGGCGTTGGCGGCTGATGTACTAATTGTATTTTTCCTTGAGAAATTTTTATATAATTGGTGGGTGGCACAAATGCGTTCGCATGCAAATCATCCTTATCATCATCTTCACATTCTTTAATATCAAGTTGTCTGAAATTATTGGAATTAAGGGAACAAATGAAATTCATAAACATCAAATAAGTGCAAAAATTAAATTTTAACTTGTGAAAAATGTAAATTTAATTCAAGTTTTCTTTTTTTTTTTTTTCTTCTAATGCATAATTCCGTTCTCTTAAAATTCAATGAATTTAGATTAAAATGTCAATTGAAATAAAAATTTATCTTTATACTTGTGAGACACACTTGTATAAAATAAAAATTGATATTTTTTCCAACTCACAAATGGGAAAATAAATAGATATATTTGTATATATGGATATTTTTAAGAGCTGCAAAAACAATTTGGCTGCTTGCTAGTACGTTTATGAATTAAGCACAGTGGAGCAAATGATTTAAATTACTATTATGCGACAAAAAGTTTGCACACGATCAGCAGTTTCTAATAAAATCTGATCGAGAGCAATCAGACATCACCGAACTAGAACTGTACTAGAACTAAACTAGAACTGAACTAGAAACTGAACTAGAACTGAACTAGAACTGAACTAGAACTGAACTAGAACTGAACTAGAACTGAACAAGAACTGAACTAGAACTGAACTAGAACTGAACTAGAACTGAACTAGAACTAAAATAGAACTGAACTAGAACTGAACTAGAACTGAACTAGAAGTGTAAACTTAAAAGAACTGACTAGAACTGAACTAGAACTGAACTAGAACTGAACTAGAACTGAACTAGAACTGAACTAGAACTGAACTAGAACTGAACTAGCAACTGTAAACTAAGAACTGAACTAGAACTGAACTAGAACTGACACTAGAACTGAACTAGAACTGAACTAGAACTGAACTAGAACTGAACTAGAACTGAACTAGAACTGAACTAGAACTGAACTAGAACTGAACTAGAACTGAACTAGAACTGAACTAGAACTGAACTAGAACTGAATAGAACTGACTATAACTTGCTAGAACTGAACTAGAACTGACACTAGAACTGAACTAGAACTGACTAGAACTAGAACTGAACTAGAACGAGAACTGAACTAGAACTGAACTAGAACTGAACTAGAACTGAACTAGAACTGAACTAGAACTGAACTAGAACTGAACTAGAACTGAACTAGAACCTAGAACTGAACTAGAACTGAACTAGAACTGAACTAGAACTGACTAGAACTAGAACTGAACTAGAACTAGAACTGAACTAGAACTGAACTAGAACTGAACTAGAACTGAACTAGAACTGAACTAGAACTGAACTAGAACTGAACTAGAACTGAACTAGAACTGAACTAGAACTGAACTAGAACTGAACTAGAACTGAACTAGAACTGAACTAGAACTGAACTAGAACTGAACTAGAACTGAACTAGAACTGAACTAGAACTGAACTAGAACTGAACTAGAACTGAACTAGAACTGAACTAGAACTGAACTAGAACTGAACTAGAACTGAACTAGAACTGAACTAGAACTGAACTAGAACTGAACTAGAACTGAACTAGAACTGAACTAGAACTGAACTAGAACTGAACTAGAACTGAACTAGAACTGAACTAGAACTGAACTAGAACTGAACTAGAACTGAACTAAAACTGAACTAGAACTGAACTAGAACTGAACTAGAACTGACTAGAACTGAACTAGAACTGAACTAGAACTGAACTAGAACTAGAACTGAACTAGAACTGAACTAGAACTGAACTAGAACTGAACTAGAACTGAACTAGAACTGAACTAGAACTGAACTAGAACTGAACTAGAACTGAACTAGAATTAAACTAGAACTGAACTAGAACTAACTAGAACTGACTAGAACTGAACTAGAACTGAACTAGAACTGAACTAGAACTGAACTAGAACTGAACTAGAACTGAACTAGAACTGACTAGAACTGAACTAGAACTGAACTAGAACTGAACTAGAACTGAACTAGAACTGAACTAGAATTGAACTAGAACTGAACTAGAACTGAACTAGAACTGAACTAGAACTGAACTAGAACTGAACTAGAACTGAACTAGAATTGAACTAGAACTGAACTAGAACTAAAATAGAACTGAACTAGAACTGAACTAGAACTAAATAGAACTGAACTAGAACTGAACTAGACTGTGAACTAGAACTGAACTAGACTAATAGAACTGAACTAGAACTGAACTAGAAACTGAAACTAGAACTGAACTAGAACTGAACTAGAACTGAACTAGAACTGAACTAGAACTGAACTAGAACTGAACCTAGAACTGACTAGAACTGAACTAGAACTGAACTAGAACTGAACTAGAACTGAACTAGAACTGAACTAGAACTGAACTAGAACTGAACTAGAACTGAACTAGAACTGAACTAGACTGAAGCTAGAACTGAACTAGAACTGAACTAGAACTGAACTAGAACTGAACTAGAACTGAACTAGAACTGAACTAGAACTGAACTAGAACTGAACTAGAACTGAACTAGAAACTGAACTAGAACTGAACTAGAACTGAACTAGAACTGAACTAGAACTGAACTAGAACTGAACTAGAACTGAACTAGAACTGAACTAGAACTGAACTAGAACTGAACTAGAACTGAACTAGAACTGAACTAGAACTGAACTAGAACTGAACTAGAACTGACTAGAACTGAACTAGAACTGAACTAGAACTGAACTAGAACTGAACTAGAACTGAACTAGAACTGAACTAGAACTGAACTAGAACTGAACTAGAACTGAACTAGAACTGAACTAGAACTGAACTAGACTGAACTAGAACTAACTAGAACTAAACTAGAACTGAACTAGAACTGAACTAGAACTGAACTAGAACTGAACTAGAACTAGAAACTGAACTAGAACTGAACTAGAACTGAACTAGAACTGAACTAGAACTGAACTAGAACTGAACTAGAACTGAACTAGAACTGAAACTAGAACTGAACTAGAACTGAACTAGAACTGAACTAGAACTGAACTAGAACTGAACTAGAACTGAACTAGAACTGAACTAGAACTGAACTAGAACTGAACTAGAACTGAACTAGAACTGAACTAGAACTGAACTAGAACTGAACTAGAACTGAACTAGAACTGAACTAGAACTGAACTAGAACTGAACTAGAACTGAACTAGAACTGAACTAGAACTGAACTAGAACTGAACTAGAACTGAACTAGAACTGAACTAGAACTGAACTAGAACTGAACTAGAACTGAGATTTAATTAAAAATATGCTCTAGATTAGAAAAAATATTACTTTTCAAAATGTGCTCCAGTTCTGGGCAATTTTTTATATGACCTAAATTTGGAAAAAAAAAAATCAAAAAATTTCTAACTTTGACCCACCGTCCTACCGCCTCTCAAACTCATATGTGGAAAAATCAATAAATATTTAATAGATTTTTATCAAAGCATGTGTGTGACTGTTAAATTATACTCCATATGATCGGAGCTGCCTGCACTCCAATGACTGCACCTTTTCACAGCGACAACAACAAAAACTTCAACACACACTCAACATTTTTCCAGATGAACTAGTTGTTGTCTTAGCAGATTTTTCAAACATTTCAATGCATAAAAATGACATTTATATCAAATATTTTTGCACCAAAAAAAAAAAAAATCGCATATTTTTCCGAAAAATTGCAGAAAAACTAAAGAAAAAAGTTTTAACACAGTTATGGAACACGATAAATTAAACGCCTAAATACGTTTTAAGCGTTAATACTAGATTTGTGTTTTAAGAAATTTAAATTTTTACAACTTTTGACATTTTGCAGATTTGTACGCTACAGTATCTTGGAAATTAATACTTTTTAGGGAACGATTGAAGTGTATCAGTAATAACATATATTGTGCTTCTTTAGAAGTGCTTTGTAGATTCCTTAGAAATATAAAATCTTTCTATTTTCTGCTTCTAAAGAAGTTGATTTTGATAGGTATGACTTCATTAAGTTATTGAGATCTGTCTGTCTGCTCTTACTTCTGTAGGGTTTAATATTGATACTTGCCGTACTTTTCTTAAACATTATTAATATTGCCATATTTATGACTTGTCTAAGTTTTATTCATTTCAAGTTTTTTTTGTAGCAAGTTATATAAATAGTTAAAAAAATATAAAAAAAAACTTTACAAGACATAAAGTCTAGAGATTTTGTGTTTGTTTGTCTGTCCCTTGTTATGGCCGTCGCTATGTTCCAATGTATGTATATATTTTGTTGGTTAATTTAAACGTCCATCTGTCTGCTAAAATTGTGCAAAATGTTTGAAAAAAAACAGGAATTTAGTGTTCTATACGTTGCAAACAAAATTTAATGAAATTAATACTAATGGTCCGGGGATGGATGATGAAAATATAAAATGGTACTATTTTTGTTGCAAAAAAGTACTCCATATGTACTTTAAATTGATTTCGGTTAATAAACAGAATAAACATTAGGTACGACAAAAGTCTAAAGTTCAGCCTATAAACCTGCCTATAGTTTAGACTATAGACCAGTCCATGGTTCGTACTATAGACCAGTCTACAATTCAGTCTATAGATCAGTTTATAGTCCAGTCTATAGACTAATCTATAATTCCGACCAGTATATAGTTCAGATTGCAGACTATCTTATATTTCAGATTATATACTATTCTATAGTTCCGATTATAGACTAGTCTAGTCTGTAGTCTAGTCTATAGGCTAGTCTTTAGTCTAGTCTGTAGTCTAGTTTATAGTATAGTCTATAGTCTAGTCTATAGTCTAGTCTATAGTCTAGTCTATAGTCTAGTCTATAGTCTAGTCTATAGTCTAGTCTATAGTCTAGTCTATTGTCTAGTCTATAGTCTAGTCTATGGTCTAGTCTATGGTCTAGTCTATGGTCTAGTCTATAGTCTAGTCTATAGTCTAGTCTATTGTCTAGTCTACAGTCTAGTCTATGGTCTAGTCTATAGTCTAGTCTATAGTCTAGTGTATAGTCAAGTCTATAGTCTAGTCTATAGTCTAGTCTATAGTCTAGTCTATAGCCTAGTCTATAGTCTAGTCTATAGCCTAGTCT